TTGAAGGCCCTTGCGCTTGCGGTGCAGCAAATCCCCCAGCTGCCGCTTCTCAGCAAGCTGCTGCTGCAGCTGCTGCTGCAGCACAAGCAGCTGCTGCTGCTGCTGCTGCGTCTCTCCACCCTGCTGCTGTTGCTGCTGCTGCTGCTTTTGAGATACATCGGAAACCCCAGAGGAAGCAACAATGCTGCTGCCAGACGGAGAGGCATCCCCGCGAGCAAGATTGCTGCTGCTGTTGCTGTTGCTGCCTGCAGCAGCAATTGCTGCTGCCTCTGCTGGCTGTCCCTCTTCTCTAAGGATTTGCGCTGCGGCTTGTAGCAGCTGCTGCTGCTGTTGCTGGCTGTGCTGCATGCGAGCTTCCTGCTGCTGCTGCTGCTGCTGCTTCTCTATCTCATCTATTTTCTGCTGTATGTGCTCTCGACGCTGCAGCAGCAAACTTGTCTCCTCGTTGCACTGTCTCCTTGCTGCTGCTTCTTGCTGCTGCAGCTGCTGCGTGAAGAGACATTCATAGCTTATCCCCCGCACTGAGGGACGAATTCGCTCCGGGTGCCCTAAAACGCAAACCCTAAACCCTAAACCCTAAACCCTAAACCCTAAACCCTAAACCCTTACTAAACCCTAGACTCTAAACCCTAAACTCTTCAGCCAAAAGCACTAGACCCTGAATTCGCAAATCCTAAACCCTAAACTCCAAACCCTAAACCCTTACTAAACCCTAACCCCTAAACCCTAAACCCTAAACCCTAAACCCTCACCGATTCTAAGGCAGACGGGTTTGAGGGTTTGTGCGGTGTACGGGTCGCTAAGGCCTCCGTTTAGAATTCTCTCTGCTACTTCATCTACTGCTGCATTTGATGGAGCGCAGACAAGTATCTTCTTGCTGCCTTGTGCTGCTGCTGCTGCTGCTGTTGCTGCAGCAGCAGCAGCAGTAGCAGCAGCAGCTTGCTGCTGCCGCAGCTGTCCATACACCGCAGCTAATAACGCAAGCAATGTAGTCGTCTTCCCTGTCCCTGGGGGCCCCTGAACAATGCCTACAGGGGCAGCCCCCTGCAGCAGACCCGTTACAGCAGACAACTGCAGCAGCAGCAGCAGCAGCAGCAGCAGCAGCAGCAGCAGTAGATGGGGCAGCAGCAGGTGGAGCAGCAGCAGGTGGAGAAGCAGCAAGGAGAGCAGCAGCAAAATCAGACGGATGAAACTGCAGGAACTAGAAGCAAACACCAGCTGGGAGAGCAGCAACAGAAGCAGCAGGTAGAGCAGCAGCAGCAGCTAGAGTAGCAGCAACAGCAACACGCAGAGTGCAGGAGGAGCAGAAGCAACAGCAGCGGCAGCATGAAGAGCAGCAGCACCACAAGCAGCATAGAACAGAAGCAGAAACAGCAGGATGAAGAGCAGCAGCAGCAGAAGCAGCCTGAAGAGCAGCAGCAACATGAAAAGAAGCAGCAGCAGCAGCAGCAGAGGGACGAGTAAGAGCAGCAATAGTCCAACCTGAGAGGGATTGAGGCGGTAGCTTTTCGTTAGCTGCTGCAGTTGGTGCTGCTGCATGTGCTGCCGCTGCTGCTGCTGCAGCAAACTTGCTGCTGCAGGAAATGCTGCAGCAGCATCAGCAAGCGACCGTATGCGGAGCGACGACCCACTACTACCCCCTTGCTTCTGCTTCTGCTGCTGCTGCCGCTGCTGCTGCTGCTGCTGCTGCTGCTGCTGCAGAGGAGACAGAATAGAGGAGACAAAGGGACAAGCCTCGCACTGAAAGAGAGACATTACTTCTCGCAGCAAAGGCGTCAAACTCTGCAGCGGGAACAGCCACCACTTGCTGTTGAGATCGAGCCGCAGCGAGTTTATCTGCAGCAGCAGCAGCAGCAGCAGCAGCAAAGCAGGACAGCAGTAGCGGCAACAGCAGCAACGACAACAGCAGCAACAGCAACAACAGAGCAGGACAGCAGTAGCAGGAACAGCAGCAGCAGCAACAGGAACAGCAGCAGCAGCAACAACAACGCAAACATGCATGCAGCAGATATTGATAAAGCAAATGACAGCAGCAGCAGCAATCGGCAGCAGCAGCAATTTGGAGCAGCGGCAGCAGTAGCAACAGCAGCAACAGCAGCAGCAACAGCAGCACCAGCAGCAGCAACAGCAGCAACAGCAGCAGCAACAGCACTGATTACCCTCTGAGGTTCGACAGCAACAGTAACGGAGGCCCCCAGCAGCAGCCGCACTGTCAAACCCTCATGGCGCTGCTCTTGGCTGCCCCACGCCTCCACCACTCCTGCAGCAGCAGCAGCAGCAGCAGCAGCAGCAGTAACAGCAGCAGCAGCAGTAACAGCAGCAGCAGCAGCAGTAACAGCAGCAGCAGCAGCAGTAGTAGTAGTAGGAACAGCAGCAGCAGCAACAGCAACGAACAGCGACAGCGGCCTCAAAAACTCTCCCAGACAACGTCATACAGCAGCAGCAGCAATAGCAGCAGCAGCAGCAATAGCAGCAGCAGCAGCAGCAGCAGCAAACTGAC